GCCCCTGCCCGCACCCGCCGGAGCGCAGGCTGTGGAGCGTGGGGGCAGGGGTGTGGCAGGGCAACCCCGTGTCTGCAGATTGCCCCTTCGCCTCTGCCAGCCTGAAGGGGCTCGCTGCCCCTCCTCAATGGACACTGTCTCAGAGCTGGAAGGAGTGGGCAGCATGGAGGGTGAGTGACCCTGGGGCTGGGCGTGGGGCGTGGAGTGGGATATTGACACAGGAGCCGTGGGCCAAGGAAGGGGGCAGGGGTGGCTGATCACGATGGCTGTCCAGATCCGGACACTGTGGCAACTTTAGTGTGTGACAGAGACAGAGACACTGTGAGACGGGGAGAGAAAGACCTGGGGTGCCTCTGTGTCCCAGTTTAGAGAGAGAGAGAGTGTGTGTCTGTGAGAGAGAGAGAGATGGAGACAGAGATACGCAGGGGGAGAGAGAAAGACCTGGGGATACCTCCATGCCCGTGTTGTGTGTGTGTGCACCCACACTGTCCCTTGTGCCTGAACAGAGGATCATTTTAGATCAGGTGAGAACAGTATGGCTATTAGCTTTAGAAGAATTGTCACAACTCTGCCTACTTGAAGTGATGGAGGTGGTGGGGGAGATGGAATTCCAGAGATCTCCATGCAGAGAGACATTCTCTCCCTAGAGAAAGGGGAGGGAACTATGGACCTAACCTCCAGTACTTTAAGGGATAGTGGCCCAAGATAAGGCTGCTTGTTCCAACATTACTAGGTGGGCGTCCAGGCCCCTCTCAGCCATTGTGGGCAAAGGGAACTACATTTAGACTAAGAAACTGGAGGACTGAGGGCTGGTCCACTGGCTTGCTGTATGTCTTTGAGATGGTGCTTAAACCTTTCTGTGCCACTGGTTACTCATCTGTTGAATGAGGAACTTGCATTCAACTGGTTTCACAGGGTGGCTGGGAGGATAAAATAAGGTAAGACATGTACAAATTCATCTCAGTAAGAGAAGTCTTCTGCAAGAGGTAATAAAATCCTAAAATTCCAATAAGTAATCACAAACCTTCTGTCAATATAGAAAAGGGAGTTTTATAGAAAATCTTGTGAGGCTGTGTATTAGTCCATTTCTGTTGCTTATAACAGAAATACCCGAAACTGGGTAATGTATAAAGAAGCAATATTTATTGCCTACAGTTTTGAAGGCTGGGAAGCCCAAAGTCCAAGTAACACATCTGGTGAAAGCCTTGTTGCTGTGTCGTGATTCTTCACAGCAAAGCAGGTGTCACATGGCGGAAGCAGAGAGACAGAGCTAACTCCTCTCTCCTCCTTTTAAAGCCCTCAGAACCATGACCACGACCACCATTAAACCATCAAAGGATTTATCCATTTACTTGGGCAAGGTCCTCACAATCTAATTACCTCTTCAAGGCTCCACCTTTCAATGACCACAATAGGATTTCCTACCCTCTTAACACTGTCACTGTGGGGACCAATCTTCTGACACATTGTATTTGGGGGAGACACAATTCAATCCATAGCAGTCTGCATTTGTAGCTTTCCAATGAGCTAGGATTTGAAAAGCACACACACAAAAGATGCACGAGGAATGTATAATCCAGCAGGAATCTGGAAGACTGGCAAAATCTGTAAGAATAGTGTTAGCAAAGCCCCAGTCAACAGAAGCCGGGGGAAAGACAGAGCAAAGAGTTTTCCAAGTCTAAATGAAGATAACATGAAAATATGCTCAGGGTTTGGTACACAAGGGCAGTCAGATCAGGGCTCAGGCAATTTCATTTCAAATTGTGGAATAAAGAGCATACAGAGGAAAGTGAAACCCAAGATAGGTGAATGAGAGGAATAAGGCGTTGAGTGACCTCCAATAAACTAACCTCTTGAAGCCCAGACAAACGACAGCCCGAAGTCCTGGGAGCATTTGCAGATGTAATCATTGCTTTAGAGGAAATTACAGAGAACGAAGCAAATGCCAGAAAATTGAAGATGAGCAAATGTACTGATTTTCAAAGGGGAGGAAAGATAGATTTTTTTAAAAAAAAACTTCTAAACTGCTGAGATCAACTGCTGTTAAAATTCCAGAAGAATGGGCCGGCCCGGTGGCGCACTGGAGAGTGCACCGCTTGGGAGCATGGCGGCGCTCCCGCCGAGGGTTCGGATCCCATGTGGAGACCGGTTCCTGCTCACTGGCTGAGCGCGGTGCGGGCACAACACCGAGGGTTGTGATCCCATTGCCGGTCCCCGGTACGGGCGCGACACCGAGGGTTGCGAACCCGTTACTGGTCAGTAAAAAAAGACAAAAAGGAAAAAAAAAAAATTCCAGAAGAAATCATCAAACATGTAGTGTGCGCTTAGGAGACACTAAAGCAATCACACACCTTAGAATATTTTTTAAAGGGAGACATCCTTCACACTTGCAAAGATGTGTTCCTGAGTGTGTTTATTACAGTGCACAATGGGAAACTGTCTAAATGTCCATAAATTCAGTAAATTAAAGATGAGACACGCCTGCAATGGCATGTTATGCAGACATTAAAAACTGTGCTTAGGAGCTAGCCAGTTAGCTCAGTTGGTTAGAGCATGGTGTTGTAACACCAAGGTCAAGGGTTTGGATCCCCTTACTGTCCAGCCACCAAAAACAACGAAAAAACAAAAACTGTGCTTCAGATTTTGTTTATTGACATGGAAATATGTCTACTGCCTATTGTAATAAATAAAAAGCAGGTTTTAGAATATGTCTATCGTATGATCCCCTTTATGCAAAATGATGTAGATTTACTATTGGAGATATACATACATAATATATGCAAAGAGACGGTCACTAACATCTTCATTTGGATTCTCTTGCTTCTGAAAGCATGCCCTAAGACAAGGACTCGGGTATAGGGAGTTTATTTGGGAGGTGAGGACAGGAAGCATGGTGAGAAATGAGGGCAGTGAGATAGAAAAGGGAGAAAGGTTAAGAAATGGGTGTGTGAATGGGCTGGTTTTAGCTGTGGGTAACTGGGGGTTCTGTCCTGCAGAGGACTCTTTGGGAAAAGTACAGAATGAACCCAAGGTTTGTCCCACATGAGATGGGCGCCGACTGCTATTTGCCCCTCCCCACTAGCTGAGGGTTACTCTGCTGCTGGAGTTCTGGGTTGTTCCTGTTCATGGCTTCTGAGAAAGCAAAGCAGAGAGACCCCTGGGTTCAGGCTGGATGGGGCGCTGGAGGTGCAAGGAACTGCCTGCCCCAGCTGACATCTTTGGGCCAAGGGGACACGGCAGGAAGCATCACAAACACATCGGCCACACAGTTGTCTCTGGGTATGAGATTTCAGGGATGTTTACTCTTTTCCTATGTGGTGCTCTGAACTATTTTATAAGCACATCTTTTAAAATAAAAACAAATCAAAACATTTAAAAAAAGAAAGATATAGTGCTCATTAGGAGCTGACATTAGTGCTTCCTAAGAACAAATGAGGCTAAAATGTACCAAATTTCCTCTTTCGGACTGGGTTTGTGAGAGGTAAAAAGATGAACTACAGCAGTTCAGCAGGACACTGCAAAGATCTCTCATGAAAACCTGTAAGTTGATGGACAGCAGGGGGAAGGAGGTGGAGGACTGACAACAGGGCTTTCCTTAAAGGCTTGATGTCTAGAGGTTCCTAGGAGGGAAAGTACAAGGCATGCTTTTCAAATCCATGGACAGGAGCCATAACAACCACAAGGCAACATGTTCAAGATATAAGGTCATCTCAACCTACTGGAATGACAGATTGAAATCAAGAAAATGAAATGTAAATGTAAGTGAAATGTAATGTCCTGAATTTAGGTCCTAAAAATCAATGCCATACATTTCAGATGGGGAGAGCTGGCTTGCATTCTTGAGAAAAATTAGTGGAGGGGAGGGGCCTGTCAAAATGAGCTGATGAGTGACAAGATGGGCCTGGAGCCCCTCTCACTGGGAATCCTGGGATGTTGGAGTGGGAAAAGGCAGGCAGAGGGGGATGATCCCAGGGACAGGGGCTCACCCTTCTGTGTGGCTCCCGGCAGCAGAACTGGGACTGGTGGAAACAAGTTGCAGTAAGACAATTCAACTTGACATCAGGAAGAACTTTCTATCACTCAGAGCTGGCATGGAATCTGTCTCCCCACCAGTTCCCACTATCCAACTTGAGCAAGGGAGACTGATTACGACTGGGGGACACAAAGGGGAATTTTGGGGTGGCTGTACCAAAAATGAGGGTACTTTAAAAAGTTCACGGAAAAATAGAATTAAAAGATAATATGAATCTTTCCATGAACTTTTCGAAGTACCTTCTTACGGCCTGGAGGGCCCTCTGCGGGTCCAGAGCCTTCTCACAACACCTGACGACAGATGCTTCGGTCTGCCGAGCCCCCTGCAGAGTTGCTGCGCCAGCTGGGCAGTGACCCCTTCCACTGTTCCCCACTGGGCCTTGACTGTGGTGTTACGCTGTGGGATAAGTCAGCAAATCAGATCCACTCCCCATCCCAGTCCGAGCCCGAACCCAGTCTAGTGGCTTCCTGGGAGCCCTGAGCAGCCTCCACGGCTATCCCCCCAGCTGGAGAGCTCTGTGGCTGAGAGAGTCCCATGGGCTGGGAAGGAGTATGCCCACATTGGCTGGAGGTGGGCACACCTCTGGGGAAGGAGCCATGCAGAGGAAAGAGGTCACTGGGGACAGGAGGGCAGAGGAGCAAGCCAGCCCGTCTCCCTCCAGCACAGGACACAGTAGCATCTTGGAGACCCAGGGGGTTGCTGCTTGTTCATGCCCCTTGGAAATGCTGCTGCCAGAGTCACTGTGCCCTATTCTTTTCCACAAAGCACTTCATCATCTGAGAGCTTCCCAACCAGCCTGAAAGGTGGGCAGGGAAACAGCATCAGCCCCATTTAACAGATAATGAAACTGAGGCTCACAAGGTACAACTAGCCCTGGTTTGAACTATAGCAGGTCTGCTGGCTCTTTCTGCAAAATGGCCTAGATTCTGTGGACACTCTGGGGCTGCAGCCTATGCAGAGTCCAGCTATCCAGTTTTGTCCTGAAGACTTTCTGCTTTTTCCTGTCTTGCTGGGAGTGGGGAAGGGAAGGGTGTCAGCTGTTGCTGGGAAGGCAGAGGCCAGGTAGGTGCAAGTCTGGTTCTCACTGGGACGTGGTCTGTCTGATGGCATTTGTCATACTTCCAGCAGTGAGTTGAG